TGTGAAACCACAGTACAGTGAATAAATCATGGTGGAAACATCAGCGACTGCCCACAGATGGGGCACATACTTCATGAAAGCAGATAAAATGATCTCAGTAAATGTTGATGGTGATGAAAACAGAATTTAAAAAAAAAGAACTTTGCTCTTAAGTATCTCTGCTTGGCAAATGTTATTTACCAATGGGCACTGAGATTTAGGAGTGGTACATGTCAATACTGTTGATGTCATTCTGTCTGTCATTTCCATTTCTGCTTTCTCTCTCCGCTCTGTGCCCTCCTAAAACTATCATTACAAGACTTAGAGAAATTAGACATCAATGTGTCCATAGACAGTGATTGAAAGTCACAAAGTATATTAACAAGTACTGTATTTTAAAGTGCTCATACATTTAATATTTAGATTTCATGCAGTGCATATGAATGACAGCTACACAGCATTAGTTATGAACATTGTGTTGCTGATATTTAATATTAAAAGGGTAAAACTGCCATTTTATTTCAGTCTACAATCAATAAGCAACTCGACAATTAACCAACTCAGTAATGACAAAGTGAAAACATGTTTCCAGTAGTTTTTGCAGCACTGTTAAAAATCAGAAACTGAAATGTGTCATTACAAAAGCATTCAAACATTTTATAACATAGTTTGTAGAAGCTGCGTTTGCAGCACTTACAGCTTCAAGTCTCCTTCTGTAAGGCTTTATAGCCCCATTCTTCCTGGCATATCTTCTTCAGCTCTATTAGACCGAATGGGAAGTATCTGTGAACTGCTTTCTTCAAGCCTTTCCACAGATGTTCATAAGAGGTTTAAGTCAGCCTTTTGGCTAGGCCACTCAAGGACAGTTGAATACTGTTTGTTTTGTCACGCTGAAAGATGAACTGTTGCCCCAGTCTCAGGTGGTGTGCACTCTGGAGGAGGTTTTCTTCGAGGACCTCTCTGTATTTGCCTGCATTCCCTCAATTGTGACCAGTCTCCCTGTGGTTACTGCTGAGAAGCTTCCCCACAGCATGATGCTGCCACCACCATGCTTCACAGTAGGGATGGTATTAGATGGTGGCTCCAAACCTCAACCGTCTCACTGTGCTCCTGGGAACACTCAGAACTTTACAGCTGGTTTTATGCTCTTGCCCTCATCTATGCCTCATCACATTTTTATCAAAAAGGTCTACAGAGAGTTTCTTGGACCTCATGACTTGGTTGTGTCCTGATATACTATGTGAATTATTGGCCCGTATAAACAAAGGTGTGCCTTTCTAAACTATGTCAATTCAGTTGAATTTACTGTAGGTGGTCTTATGATCATCATGATCTACACACACCTCAAAAATTAATAAAGCAAATAGGACGCACTTGACCAAAATCTGGAGTGACACTGCAGATTGTCTGAATACTGCTGTAAATGAGATATTTCAGTCTTTGATTTGTGGAAACTAGCAACATTTTCTAAAAGCATGTTTTCATTTTGGCATTTTTGGTTAGTGTAGATTGGTTGGCAAAAATCGCAATTTTACCAATTTAAAATCAAATGTATAATATAGTAAAGTGTGCAAAAAGTGATGAGGTCTGTGCATATGATGTATGTCACTCGAAATGCATCAGCTCTACTAATGTACGATCGTGCCACGCTTCTTAACCAAGCCTCAGTCACCAACATGAAATCCAATTTCCGCAATATAAAAAAAGTCATTCAGGATGAATGTCTTGTTCGCCAATGATCTAACATTAATCAAACCCATCTGAGTCGATAAAACGGTTCGGTGGCTGAGTCACACGTGTCAGTGGTCGGAGATTAGACTAATTTATGCTTCTTCTTAGATGTCGTGAAAGCCGGCGATATGGATGGGCCGAGGCCAACCACATATGAAGCCAGGCCAGCGGGTCATACAAAGACGACAACAAAACCAGTCGGGTCTATGGCGGTGGTCAAAGGCATCCACAGAAGCAGAGCGCCAGAGGGCCTTTAGGCAGACAGCCACTCCATTCCTCTGTCCTCGTTTTCTAGTACGCTTCCTTCAAGAGCAGGCGAAGTAAGAACGGCGAAGATATGCTGGTATATTCGCCAGTAATGGTAGGACAGTCTTTGAGTTATCCCAGCCGATTACACTGGGACACTTTTCCATAGACAAATTAATATTAAAGGAAGGTGAGCATTATGCATTTTCTGAGCTTCTTCCACCTGACTGTTCCTACTTCAGCTCCACCCGTACGACAGGTAGGGGTGGTGGCCTGGCATGTGTTTTTAAAAACAAGTTTTCAATGTCGGCAGCTGACAGTGGACACTTATTCAAGTTTTGAACTACTACTACTAATACTACTCCTTTGTGGTTTTAACATTCATATACAGTACGTATGTTGCCCAGCTGACCCTTTGTCTAAAGACTTTTTAAATATTATTGACTCAACCTCACTCAGTCGGTGCACAGTTCTACTTATGAGCTTGGATACACACTGGACTTTGTGATCTCTTATGGGCTGCATGTTCTTATTACTGAAGTATACGACTCTTGATTGTCCGATCATTTTCCTGTGCTATTTAATGTTAATGTGCCGCCACTGTTAGACAAACCTTCTATTCCTGCT